CAGCCAGCCAAGGAGGAGGAGGAGTGAGGATCGTCGACGCCAAGTCCGTTTTCGACTCGCTCGCGAAGTGCACGGCAGGAAGGAAGGAGGACAGGAGGGCGGCGATCGATCTGTCGATTCTCCGAGACGCACTTCAGCAGGACGGGTCAGTGGTGAGATGGGTGCCCCATCCCTTTAACCCTTCCGACCCTCTCACGAAGTTGGACGCGAGCAAAGGGAACGCGGCGCTGGCCCATCTTCTCAGAACAGGACGGCTCCATCTCAGAGACCCGGGCTCAGAGCTGGAGGCAAGAGCCACCGGCAAGGTGGCCAAGAGCAGAAGCCGAGGATTCAGCAAGAGGAGACTAGAGGAGGGCGAGGGAAGACAGGAGGAGGGGACGGCCGGGGACCAGGAGTGAGGACGGCAGCTCGAGAATGGTCTCTCTCTCTCTCTCTCTCTCTCCTTTCTCTCTGCTCTCGCTCTCGGCTTCCGAGAAGCGAGTCGCCAGACACCTGGGCCGACACAAAGTCGGGGGTGCTGTGATATAGGTGCTCCGATCGGTCCAGGTGCCACACATTGAGCTAGCGTGTTGTGCTAAGTGTATCTTCCGTAGTCGTGTTGGTGCGCGGTGGAGGTGCTTCTATTAGCCCTGTCAGATTGTGTGCAACGCAAAAGGTGTCCTATCCTCTCTGTCCGCTGCGCGGGACCCCGCCATGTCCAACAGTCTCTGGAAAGCCTACGCGGGAACATTCGACGCGCCCCAGAGGGCACGCAGGACGCCCCAACAGATTTGAGAAGTTTGCGGCCGGGGCCCCCTAGAGGAAACTTCCTGATTCAGGGTCGAGGCTCAGGAGTTGAGCAAGGGACTTGGAGACACCCCACCTCGTGCCGCAGGAGCACAGTGGCGGACTTCCTACGCATTCGTACTTCTGCCGTCGTGGCGCTTGAAGCCGTGCGCAAGTCGATGATTGGGCACATGCCTACGTCAAGTTCAAACTTAAATTAACAGCACGCGTCGCTAACCACGATCCCGAAAGATGGACACGGCAAAGCGCGAGACGGGACCCAAGATTCCACGATTCGCTCCCAGCCGTTCGCAGACACGAAGGCCAACATCAGTCGGATGACGACATCGCTTCGTTCTTGCACGCTGCAGTACACCGACAGCGATGCACATCGGTGGGAATTGGCCCGGGAACGGAAAAACATGGAGGACACAGTCGAGCATCCGATTAAGAAACATCCTCCCGAAAAGTTGGGCCAGCGTTTCGTAGCGAATGTGCCAGGAAATTGGCCCAGCCCTGTCGCCCAGCCAGGGTGAAGCGCAGACATTTGCCAAGGCTTGCGCTAAGACGTTTCTCGGAAGCTGGCGCTGATTGTTTAATTATCAGTGTCTTGATCAGATTTTCGGTTGTATGCCAGTCCCAGGTATGGGTATTTTTACAGAAAATGTCCCACCCACCCCGTGGCCAGTTATCCCCTGTGGGTCCGGGGCCCCTTTTGGGGGCCTCCTGGGAGTCATGTCGGTTTCACTGGGTTCTCAAAAATGATTAGTGTGACGCCCACAGGTCGCGAGGATTGCCCACGATGACCCAAAACGCGACCGACCGTATGATTTTGGGACGGGCCCGAGGATACGATTTGACATCATCGCATCGAGGAGGCCCAAAGAGAGGCCCCAGACAGCCCAGTCGCTGAAAACAACAAAGACCGTGTTGCGCTGTTTCGTGGCCGCTTGGCTATATTTAGTTTTTCGCGGTTCAGAGGTAGGGGCCCAGTACGTCTGCGCGCCGCTGGACGAACACCTCAAGACGGCCACAGGGGGCCACAATCGGACCCTAAGACGGCACAAGAGAGCTTCCAGAAGGAGCCAAGAGAGCGCCAAGACGGCACAGAAGGGCCACAAACAAAATCCAAGGAGGCCCCAAAAACGCTCACAGAGGTCCCTAATTAACAGCTTCCAGAAGGCACTCGGGAGCACGCCCGAAGCCCCCAAGACGCCCACGATGGAGCCACAAGGCAGCCGTTGGACATTCGAAGCATACCCTCACGAGATCATTCCACTCCAAGCTGGCCCACTTCATACTCAAAATTCACCCACACCAGCCATAGCCAATTCGAAGGTCCCCTTGGGGCTGCACCCCAACGGTTCCGCGGACTTTCCTTGATCCCCCCCTCCCGAGTTCTGCCTGGCCAGGGGTATGCGCCCAGCGTGTGTACATGTCAGCGACGCTCCTCTGGTGAACCAATTTGTCGCGGACAGCCAGCGACAACGCTCCTGCGGCTCCATCCTTATATGCTATGTGCGTTGCCTTATCCACTGATCCACTCTGATTACTACGCACGCGCCGACTCCTGTAAGCTCCTTGTTGTCGCATCTTTTCGTTCAAATTCTCGATTCCAGCTCCAATTGTCAGATTATGTTACTATTTTCCGATTCGTGTTTACGCTTTCTTACTTCCTCCGGTTCTAGTTCACATCTTTCCAATTCCGGTTCCCGATTTGGAGTTTCCGACTATGTTTGTTTATCAATGTTCAGTTTTTTGTCGCCCCGCCCCAGGCCCCAGGCTTACGTTTGAGGTGTCCGACCCCCCCGCGCATCCCTCTTGGGGAGTGGTCGGTCGGGCCGACATCGCTTGCTAGTTTGTAAGACAGGTCAGGACGACACGGATCGCACACGTCATCTCTCGGCGATCGGGTTTCCGAGGAAGGGGCTGCAAAACATTCGGCACGTTGCCGAGTTTCGGGTGCAGGCCGCACATCCCTGCATCCCTGTTCGCAGACGCAGCTGCTCGTCGTGTGAGCCGTCGGCATGATAGGGAATCAAACTTCAGCATCCTCTAGCGCAGTTCACGCCTCGCACGTCTCTTTTGTTTTTGGGGAGAACCATTCCGCCCTGACATTATCTTCCCTTCGTTTGGGGACAGAAAGGTGTGGATCGCGCTCTCAGGTTGACCGGCTAAACCCCGCAAGAACAGGACGAGACAGAAGTTAAGGAGTTTGTTTGACTCCTTATTCAAGCGGTTCGCTCATTCTGCCGGCCCGTATTGTGCTATCGCAGGCGCGCGTTCGTGGACTCTTGGGGCCTCTTGGGGGCAGTTCGGGGGCCTCTCGGGGCCTCTTTTTGGGCGTCTTTGGGGCCTCGTGGGGCCGTCTTTGGCCCTCTTGGGCCGTCTGAGGCGCCTCTGGAGCCATTTCGGGGCCCTCTTGGACGTCTTGGGGCACTTTTTGGGGCCTCTCGGGCCATCTTGGGGCTGTCTTGGCGGCCTCTGGGGCCATCTTGGAGCGTCGGAAGCCCGAAAACGCGAGAGCGCGAAAAACATGGAACAACACAGGACATCAATGATTGTTGCTTCTTTTGGCCCTCTTTGGGGTCCTCTTGGAGCTTCTTTTGGGGCCTCTTGGGCCGTCTTGCGGCCATCTTGGGCGTCTTGGAGCGCTCTTGGGCCGTGATTCAGATTCGTCGGCTCTTTTGGAGCTGCCTTGAGGTTCCATGGGCCGCTCCTGGGGCAATCTGGAGGGCCCCGAAAACCGCCCCCTGGAGTTCTGGCATCCTTCAGAGGACCTTGCCGGGAGTCGGCCGGGGTATTTTTCGTCTGGGGACCCCCAGGGGCCGCCCCGCGCGCGCGAAGTAGAACATACATGTATTGTATGAACCAGTTCCTGGGGATCTAGCACGCCTCTGGCCCGTTGGGCCGGCGAATTCGTTCGCCCAAATTGTTGATGTTCAATCGAGCGGCCGTGCTGAGTACCTATTGGGAAAAGTAGTGCGACGAAAAGTGGGAGGAGGAGGATGAGGTTTGGGAGTTGGTGGTGCAAGTGGATCCGGAGGGCATGCGGAACAAATGCAGGACCTACAAAAGTCGGATGATTCGGACGAAGGAAGCGTGAGACAAAAATGGAGAGAGAGAGAGAGAGATAGAGAGAGAGGACGCGAAAGGTAGAGAAAGAGAAGGACAAGGATAACGTGCGGGAGGACACAAGCGACAAGAAGCACGAACATATTGAGCACACGGAATAGTCGAGCGTTGTTGTGCATAACGCGCATGTCTCATCGCACGCCGCGTATATGGCACACTACAGTTGTGTAATCCTTGCAACGGCTTTAGTGTCACTTTCCGTGTCATGTGCGAGACACGCGCGGCAGGTATTTCCGGTACGCCACATGCTATTGTGAAGGCCTCACGGCCGGTGCCGCCGACCCAGAAGAACGACGACGACCACGACGACAGCGACAACGACGAGCTGATGACCCTGCCAAAGGCTCGGAACATGGGGCGGGCGGTGGAGGGAGAAGGATGAGGAGGAGGAGGAGGAGGAGGAGGAGGAGGAGGAGGAGGAGGAGGAGGAGGGGGATGGAGCGGATCAGGAGGCGGAGGAGGAGGAGGAGGAGGAGGATGCGGAGGACTAGCAGGAGAAAGAGGAGGGGAAAGAGGAGGAGGAGGAGGAGGAGGAGGAGCGGAGCCGTCTGTCTGCTCGGGGGCGGGCGTCTGGGAGGCGAAAACCGAAGGGGAAAGCCCCCAGCGGGGGAGGGGTCACCACCCCCAGGACCCCAGGCCAGGGAGCCTCCCACAGGACCAGCCCCGGGACCATCCCGTTCCCACGGCGGGGTAGGGACAAAGTGAAGGGGCTCCCCGTCGGCGTAATCTTGACATTGTTCGATCTCCCTTGTTTGTTCGACCTCCCTTACGACGATCATGATTCAAAAACGATTGGCGTACTTCAGTTTGGGTTGGGTTGGTCTCGCGTCGAAAGGCCTCTCACAAACGCCGACTGGGTAGGCGGATTTCAGTGTCATTGGATCTGTATATTTTCGCACTGGCGGTTACGTCAACATGTCCCAGGACGAGAGGATTCACGATCCAAATCTTCAGCGCATGACGTGGTGACATGCCATGGCAGCATTTTCGTCAGCATCGGTTGCAGAATCACACACAAACACACACGTACACATGTACACACACACTCCATTATTTGGATAGGGAATGGGTAGGAGCAGGGAACTAGTATGGCTGGGAAGGCGCTGGAGCCAGTGACCACATGGGCCAACGATTGCTGCAGCTTGCGCAGCAGCCGCAGCTCGCCCGTGACTCTGCTCGCGACGCGCGGTCCTCAGCTTCTCTGTTGCTGCCGCGATGTACTCCGCGAAGCGAGTAGACTTCTGAGTAGAGGTGGGCGAAGGGCCAGCGCGTAGGTTACCGGAAGAGTTACCCAATTGTTTGCGGCAAGTCCCGCCGCCGTACCAGCCCAGTTTTCTGCATGGCTACTGTTCTGCACTGGAGGCGGTTACGTGTGACACCTTGTGTTCGCTCATTCGCGTCATGTAGGGTGTGTCTCTTCTCGTCCTCGGCGTCGGCCTCGTGGATTCATGATGTGCCTTCTCCTACGTTTCTCCTGACCCATCTCCTCGTTTCTCTTTCTTCCTCCTGCTCCATTCTCTGTGCGGTGACGGTGGGAGCAACGCCCAGATAGCCATCACATGTAGTGTTCGGCCGTCTTGAAGTTGTCTTGGGTTCCTGTGGGGCAGTCTTGGGGATCCCTTGTGGGCCTCTTGCACCGCTTTGAGGCCTTGGTGCCCGCTTGGGACGTACATACTGGTGCTCTCTCAAGCCGTCTTGGGGCTTATCTTGGCCGTCTACGCAGCGCCGCGCGTCTCCCAATCCTCCTCCTTCTCCTCCTCTTCCTCCTCCTCCTCCTCCTTCTTCTCTTCCCCCCCCTTCTCCTCCTCCTTCGCCTCCTTCTCCTCCTCCTCCTCCTCCTCCTCCTCCTCCTCCTCCTCCTCCTCCTCCTCCTCCTCCTCCTCCTCCTCCTCCTCCTCCTCCTCCTCCTCCTCCTCCTCCCCCTCTTCTGCTCCTCCTCCCCCCCTTCCTCCTTCTGCCTCCTGCTCCTCTTCCTCCTCCTCCTCCTCCCCCTCCTCCTCCTTCTTCTTCTCCTTCTCCTCCTAGCGCCAGCTCGGCTCGAGCCTGCTGCCTCGTCGCGAGCCCGCGTCACGGGCGCCCTGGCGCAGCCTTCTTCCTCGCGCCTCGCCTCCCCCCCCTGCTGCGGGCGATGGAACCGGCTCCGTGCGGCGGCCTCGCCGGCCGACTCGCTCCGCCGCCGACCGCCGCGCCCAGTACAGCAGCGCCGACACGTGGGCTGCTGGGCGGTTGCTGATGGCGTTCGCCGACATCGAGCGCCACCGCGGCCAGGGCCTCAGCGGTCTGGCCCCGGCACTGAGAACGGCACTTGCGGGCGCGCCTGCAGATGCGGCCGAGGATGTTGTGGTGGCGGTCCCTGTCCTGCCGCCCGCGGACATCGCCGTCGGTGTGCGTGGCGAAGATAGTGTCGTTGGCCGCACCCTGGACACAGATCTTCTGGCGCAGGTGGCCGCCAAGGCAGTTGCCGTCGAGGTCGAGCTGGCGCAGCCCCGCGCCTCGGCCCGGTCTGCCAAGCGGTGAGCCGACGCTGGAGGAGAAGGAGGCGATGCAGGTGACGGAGGCGGTGCTGCGCCGAAGGCTCGGGAGCCCGTGCGCGCCACTCCGAGCGCTGCCCAAGGCGCCCGTGGACCCCGCTGGTGTCGCGACGGCGACCGCGCTGAGGATGCAGAGGCGCCTGGGCGCTGGCTCGGGCAGTTCCGCCGCCGCGTAAGCCGCAGCGCCCGGCGGCCGGAGTTGTTCTGAGCCGGATCGATCTGCGAGGGCCCCCGGGCCCGAGCACAGGCGACGACGCCCGGCTCGAACAAATGGAGACGCCAGGATCTCAGGGTGGCCTGCCGGCCGCGGCGCGATCGGGGGCCCCTCGGGCCCTGGGGGGGGGCCGGTCGTGCGGGGGCGCCGCAGCCGAGCCGCCCGGCCGAGACCCGCGCGCCGGGCAGCCTGCGGGCACCGCGGCGCCCGCCGCCCGCGGCGCGCGGCGCCACGCGAGGGGCGCCGTCGGGCTGCTCCGCCCCCCAGGGGCCTCCGTCCGGCCTCGCGCGTCGGGGTTTCCAGGGGCCCAGACCCCCTCGAGTCACGACAGAAATCACGACGGCAGGTTTTTCGCTATGTTCGTCGTCTGAGGACCCTTGTGCCAGGCGTACCAGGCCTCGGGGCCGTCAAGAAACAATTCGGAACGAAAAACTGGTCCCAGGGAATGGGTCGAGACCTCCAGGGTCGGCGACATGAAGGAATTATGACGTCGGGGGTCTTGAGACGGGGGTCAATGCAAACGGGGGTCAGTCAGAGCGTCAGATCTTGAAGAGGATCCTGCAGAGCCAGGGGTGCATTGTCTCAAGCTTGGGTGCAGGATCCGGTAGGATCCAGGATCTCGCAGGATCATGCAAAGCCCGACTGACCCGGGTCTGGATTGACCCGGGTCAGTAGATCCCCGAGCGCGTCGCCCTCCTCGTCGTCGCTGTCGCCGCCGTGGTCGTCCTCGCCCTCGGGCGCCTCACCGTCGTCGTCGTCGCCGTCGTCGCCGTCCTCATCGCCGTCCTCGTCTTCGTCGTCGTCATCCTCCTCGTCTTCGTCGTCCTCGTCCTCGTCGCCTTCCTCCATGCCCTCGTCGTCGTCGAGCCGCCCCGCCGAGGCCCACTGGCTCGGCGGCCTCGATCGCCGCGCCGCCGCCTGCCGCCCGCGAGCGCCACGGCGCCGCGCCCGCGCTGCTGACCGAAGGCGCAGCGGCTCGGATGCAAACCACGGAAGCGTCCGCGCGCTTGGGGTCGGAAGCGCATCGGCGAATAGCGCTCCAGAGCGCCCAGGAGCGTCCGGTGGCGCCGAACATAGTGCTCAAGTAGCGCCCAGTAGCTACCCATGGCACCCAGAAGCGCCATGCTAGGGGGATGCATCACACTATGTCTGATTTGCGCCCGACTGGGCGCTGCTGGGCTCCATGGGGATGACCATACGCGTCCGCGAGTTGCTTTCTAAAAGGGGGGGCGGTTGCGGCGGCTGCTTCGGGCTTTGTCGTCTTGTCTCTCATCGGCCGAGGGCCCAGGGATCGAGCCAAGGCTGCGATCTGTTCTGTCCCAAACCTCCTGCGATGGGTTCTCGGTCTGTCGGTTTGGATACAGCGCTGATGCCCCCCCTCCTTCCTCACTTCCTGCCTTTTCTCTTGCCTCCGCAGTCCTACTTGGGCGCTGCGACCTGCGAAAGAGTCGCCACTTGCTTGGGCTTCTGGAAGAGTCTGGCGGGATGGCGTCTTACACGGACCCAGATGAGACCTCGCCTCCTAGGCAGGGGGCTGCCAACCGAGCAACGTCGCCACCTTCGCGTGCGCCTGCGAGGCCCAGAGGGGTGGTGCATCTTGATGACCCATATGAGATGTCGGTCTCCCCGGGGGGGGGGGGGGGGCAACTGCACAGCTGTGGCCCTTCTCCAGTGCCCATGGGAGGCCCCACGGGTTAGCGTTTTCTGTAGCCTGGCAACTACGCAACAGCGCGTTGGTTGCCTCCGACAGGCCCAGCGGGGTGGTGTCTTGCTCAGACCCGAATGAGACCTCGACTCCCTTGGGGCTGCCAGCTGCACAACTGTCGCCACTCTCCGTGCTCTCCTGGGAGGCCCAGCTGGATGGCGTCTTACGACACCCAAAATGAGACCTCGCCTCCTCGGGGGCTGCACGCCCAGCGCAGTGGTGTCTTACGCAGATCCAGATGACATCTCGCCTTCGTGGGGGCTGCCAGATGGGCAGCTGCCACCACTTTCGACGGACCCTGGGAGGTCCAGCGGAGTGGTGTCCAGCACAGACCCAGACGAGACGTCGCCCTCCTCGGGTGTCGCGAACTGTGCCACGGTCGCCACATTCGTGGGCTTCCGGAAGGTCCAGTGTAGTGGTGTCTTGAGAGGATCCACGTGAGACCTCGCCGCCTTGCCAGGGTGCTGCCAACTCCGCAACTGTCGCAACTTCCGCGTGCTTCTGGGAGATCCAGCGGAGTGGTGTCCCACGCAGATCCAAAGGAGGTCCCCATGGGTGCTGCCAACTTCGCCATTGTCTCCACGGTTTCTGGGTCATCTGGCGGAGTCCAGCAGATCATGTTGCCCGGCAGAGTGGGGATGCGACTCTCCGCTCATCATCGCATCGCATCCCCACCTCATCGTCATCATTTTCTCTCATCTTTCGCTGTGCTCGTCCTCGTCCACCTCTGTACTCGTCAAAATCGCATCCCCTCCATCTATGGCGTCCACTGTTCTCGTCTTCGATGCCGTTCACCGTGTTCGTCTTTGCTCGTATGCTTCCCCAATGCCGGGTTGACGTCCTTCTTCGTCGTTTTTCCATCAGTCCACCAATGTTATATCCTTCGGTATTGCCTTAGGTCAGTCTCGCAGGTCGTGCACCACGTATTCTTGTATTTGGCTTTCACAGAGGACGGCGCTCCTGATCAGATTATCACCCGTTTGGGATAAGCCCAGTACTGTAGTCTTTGTAATTGATCCGGACGGGTTGGGTACGTCACCAGGCGTGTTCGTTTGATGGTCGCTTTTTTTGAATCCTCTCTGACGTGTTGCAGTCTGAAGAGGCCACTGGAGACTTCTAGAGAGCTATGCGGGGACCTCTGGAGACCTCCCGTCGTCGTCGTTCGAGGATCGAGGTCCGAGGTATTTCCTTTTGCCCCTTTCTGAACTCTGGAGGCCTCTGGGGTCCTTCAGAGACCTCCGACCTCAAGAGGTATATGGACGACGAGCTCGTCGGTCGCCGGCGCCGCCGCCGTCGTCACCGTCGTTTTTTTCGGATGTGTTCGACGGCTTCGGGGGGCTCTGGGGCTTCCTGCGCATCTGCGACGCAGTCGGCGGTCCCCAGAGGTGCCAGAGTCCACTTGTGGCCGCTGTGGCGAGCGAGACCAGACAATCTGCCCTCCAATCTGGCTGCCTGCGGCGAGTCCAACCACAGTTCCAGCGCAGCAGCGCAGAAGGGACTACCTAGTCCGTGGGCGTGGTGGGGGCAGCGAGAGCAGTTGCATTCAATCTCGATTGCTGGATTGAGTAAAGATATGTCAAAAGTGAACACAAACGAGCCCACTGGCCTCACTTTTGCAGGAGATGGTGAGGAGTTGACGTCGAAGCGTCTAAGTGCACGTACCCATGGACCTGTTCATCGGTCGTCCAGTCGAGGTGTTCATGCAAGTCAGACCTCGTTATGCAAATTACGGGTGCTTGGTTGCTCTCGATTTCTGGAAGTAGCATCAAGCAAATTGTGGGCAGCGCCTCGCCTGCGTAGTTCGAGCTATAAGTATTGCACATCTCCATGTGTTTCTTTCGTGGTATTCTGACTGACCGAAGGATTAATTCACCAGACTCACTGACTGACTGAATGGCTGACTGACTGACCGATTGGTCGCTACAGTAGCAAGCCGTCATATGTAGAGCCACCGAGTGCGCACCTAGGGTGCGGCCAATAGCAGGCCATTTGTTGGGGAGCCGTCGAATGCTCAGCAAATGGCGCCGCCAATAGCAGGCCGTTTTATTTTGGGCCGCCGAGAGCGCAACCCATTGTTCAGCCCAACGGATGGCGCAGCATACAGCGCAACCCATGGTGCAACCGCTGGCACAACCCATGGCGCAACTGAAGGCACAAGCCATGGAAGGCGCAAGCCACACAACCCGTATATGGTGCAACCCATGGAGCAACCTACGGGTGGTGCATCCAATGGCATCCAATGGCGCACCCCGTGGGTGGCACGCAAATTGTCGACGTCTAGGGTGCTACGCCTAATTTGCATTCGCCGTTTGGGCTGTCGGGGTAACCAGGGCGGCGAGCTGTCTTATGATTGAGCAACGTTCATCATCACCCTTATCTGCAGTTGGAAGAGTGAACAATCAATTCACGCTTGCTACCACGTCTCCTCACCAGCTCCGACGCTTAACGCTACTTGTCTTCGCCGTGCCCCAGGTATCCGCATGGTCGCACGATCTCCACATGGAGTGTACCCTTTATCCGCTTCTTTCTCTCTTTCTCTCTCTTTCCCCTGTCTCTCTCCCTCTCTCTCTATCCCTCTCCGCGTACATACGAATGTTTCCCGAGCCGTGCTCGCACTTCGGGTGTCTAGCTTCTCTTCGACGGAACTGGGCCTGTCTGCCGGTCTGGCGGTTATGTTGTTGTCGTTGTCGCCGCTTCGCCGTTGCCTTGTAATTGTGCGTGTCTGTCAGTCTGGCAGCTATGTTGTCGCCTTCGCCGCCCCGTCGCCACTTCGTCGCGGCCTCGCACGAGCGCACCACATATATGACACCACGTTGGTTTTCCTTTTTTCCCCGCATCCTGAGTGGGGTTCTTGTTTTCCCAGAACATCCTCTCCTCCTCCTCCTCCTCCTCCTCCTCCTCCTCCTCCCGCTTCCTCCACCATCCCATACTGTATCATACCATACCAATACCATGCCACTCCATACCATACCTTACCATACCATACCATGCATCCACCATCCCATACCATACCATGCCTTTCCTCACACCATGTTATTTATCAGGTTTCGTGCCCCTCCCACCCCTCCAGGGAGGCCCCGCCTGAGCGAGCAGGGTATTCGCACACCATGTTATTTATCAGGTTTCGCGCCCCTCCCACCCCTCCAGGGAGGCCCCGCCTGAGCGAGCAGGGTATTCGCACACCATGTTATTTATCAGGTTTCGTGCCCCTCCCACCTCTCCAGGGAGGCCCCGCCTGAGCGAGCAGGGTATTCGCACACCATGTTATTTATCAGGTTTCGTGCCCCTCCCACCCCTCCAGGGAGGCCCCGCCTGAGCGAGCAGGGTATTCGCACACCATGTTATTTATCAGGTTTCGTGCCCCTCCCACCCCTCCAGGGAGGCCCCGCCTGAGCGAGCAGGGTATTCGCACACCATGTTATTTATCAGGTTTCGTGCCCCTCCCACCCCTCCAGGGAGGACCCGCCTGAGCGGGCAGGGTATTCGCACACCCAGGTTTCGTGCCCCTCCCACCCCTCCAGAGGGGCCCCGCCTGAGCGAGCAGGGTATTCGCACACCATGTTAATTATCAGGTTTCGTGCCCCTCCCACCCCTCCAGGGGGGCCCCGCCTGAGCGAGCAGGGTATTCGCACACCATGTTATTTATCAGGTTTCGTGCCCCTCCCACCCCTCCAGGGAGGCCCCGCCTGAGCGGGCAGGGTATTCGCACACCATGTTATTTATCAGGTTTCGTGCCCCTCCCACCCCTCCAGAGGGGCCCCGCCTGAGCGAGCAGGGTATTCGCACACCATGTTATTTATCAGGTTTCGTGCCCCTCCCACCCCTCCAGGGAGGCCCCGCCTGAGCGAGCAGGGTATTCGCACACCATGTTATTTATCAGGTTTCGTGCCCCTCCCACCCCTCCAGGGAGGCCCCGCCTGAGCGAGCAGGGTATTCGCACACCATGTTATTTATCAGGTTTCGTGCCCCTCCCACCCCTCCAGGGAGGCCCCGCCTGAGCGAGCAGGGTATTCGCACACCATGTTATTTATCAGGTTTCGTGCCCCTCCCACCCCTCCAGGGAGGCCCCGCCTGAGCGAGCAGGGTATTCGCACACCATGCTATTTATCAGGTTTCGTGCCCCTCCCACCCCTCCAGGGAGGCCCCACCAGAGCGGGAAGGGTGTTCGCACACAATGTCATTCGTCAGGTATCTTGCCCATCCCACCCCTCCAGGGAGGCCCCGCCTGAGCGAGCAGGGTATTCGCACACCATGTTATGTA